GTGCATGATGTCCATACCTTCTTGTAAGAGTCCCTGATATTTATCTATGTTCTAAATCCCATCCTGTTTGGTTGGAAAACAAGGGAGTTATAGCCATTTCAAGTTTCAGCCATTCAATTTGCAGCACACGTGCATGCGCGTGATTTCTTGAAATTTTTTATGTATATCATATTGCAGGATATCCTAATGTATGACTATATTTTAAATTTCAAACCATTTCCTCAAAAAACAATAGAGATATAGCCATTTTAAGTTTCAGCCAATCAGATTGCAGCACACGTGCATGCGCGTGATTTCTTGAAATTTTTTGTATATCATATTGCAGGATATCCTAATGTATGACTATATTTTAAATTTCATACTGTTTCCTCAAAAAACAAAAGAGAAATAGCCATTTTAAGTTTCAGCCAATCAGATTGAAGCACACGTGCATGCACGTGATTTCTTGAAATTTTTTGTATACCATATTGCGGGATATCATAATGTATGACTATACTCTAAATTTCAAAGCATTTCGTCAAAAAACAACGGAGATATAGTCATTTAGTTTCAGCCAATCAGATTGCAGCACACGTTCATGCGCCTGATTTCATGAAATTCTTTCTATATAATATTGTAGGATATCATAATTCATGACTATGTTTAAAATTTTAAAGCATTTCGTCAAAAAAAAAACAAAAAAGATATTGAGATTTTTGTTTCAGACAATCAGAGCAAAGCTCACGTGCACGCGCGTGAGTTCGTGCTTATTTGATAGTGTCATAGTATTAACACTATTAATATATCTTTATGTAATGAGTTTCAAAGCATTTCGTCAAACAATGTAAAAGTTATGACTATATTAATTATATCAATCATTTCACTTACTTCACGCGCCCGCACGTGCATGCGTATGCACGCAAAATGACCTTCGTTCGACACACCTACACAACACACCTATTAACCCTAAAAAGGTTTTAATTTAGTTTGGTGAATAGTTTCTGAGAACACTTCCGGACTAAAATGTACCGGAGAAGATTACCTTTATTGCTTGGAATATTTAGGAAAAATAGAATCAGAATTTTTATTTGATACAACATATATCTGAGAATCGAGGGGGTTATCTCTCTCTCTTACTTTCTCTCTCTCTCTCTCAATAAAAACTATGACAACACATTACTTATTTAGTTTGAGAATTTCATCTACACATGTATTACAAATAATCTGAATGCCTCTTTCCAACATCTTGACCGAGTATAATCACGGCCGGGAAATGTCTACAGATACATAAAGAAGTTAGCTAAAATAATCGTCATAAAAGAATAAAAAGGCACTTAAATATAGTATATTTTGCAGTAAAATTTAAATAAAACGAGAATTTTTATGCAGTACGATAACAGTCAATGTCAACAGATAATTGTGAATTTTTTAAAAAATCCGTTATTTTACTCAGAATCGCTTTGGCACGGAAATACATGTACGGTTGTTTCAACCCCGTACAATTTAATTAATTCATTCTATAAGTAGCAGTTTTATCTTCAAAAGTCCACATTATTTTATTAGTGAAAAGAATAAGCATAATTATTTACTATATAAGTAGATTAATTTATTTTCTAAATACACGCGGTAACAAATACATGTTTGACGGCGATTAAAATCATGTTATTAAAATATCGATTTAAACATATATAGCTGTAGGTATGTGCAGAAAAAAAATGTTTTATTTATTGATTTATTTATTAATTTATTGATTAATTAATTAACTAATTAATTAACGAATTAATTAATTAATTAATTAATTTATTTATTTATTTATCTATTGCTTATCTCAGTAGTAGTTTTATCTTCTAAAGTCCACATTATTTTATTAGTTAAAAGAATAAGCATAATTATTTACTATATAAGATTAATTTATTTTTTCACTACACGCGGAAACAATTCACGTTTGACGGCGATTAAAACCATGTTATTAAAGTATTGATTTAAACATACGTATGTGTAGAATTTTTTTTAAATTAATATTTATTCATATTTTCATCTATTTATTTCTCTTTTGTATATCTATTGTGTATTTATATTTATTTTTGACATTTGAATAACAGAATAAAAGAATAATTTCAATACAAGGAAAAGACCGAAGGCATTCCGAATAAATCGTTCATCTTGCGTTCACAGTTCGTTCACCGTTCACATTGCGCTCGCGTTCGCGCTCCGTTTGCGTTCTGAGTTCACTCACCGTTCACCGTTCACACATCGTTCACCAAGTTGCGTTCACCGTTCGCACATCGTTCAATCACCGTTCGCTCTGCGTTCGTTCACCGTTCGTTCACCGTTCAGGTGGGAAAGTAGAACATTTAAGGGACTGTATATTGATAAAAATACAATCCATACATGTAATACTTTAACTGTGCTATATGCACTGTCAATGATTTAAATTGGAACTCAAATCACATTCATCTCCATACAACACAAAAAGTAAATATAAAGTATGACACATGTAGTAAGATACTTGCATTCATTATCTGTCCAGTTGAATTTATCATTCGTTGCATTGCAGTTAAGACACTCGTTGGTTGAACTGTTCTGCATGGAGCTAATGCATGTACTATCGATGTAACAGAAATCGTCCTGCAAATAAAATTAAAACGATATTCATCCCGTTTAAAGAATCCAGTATGCAAGGACAACTTACAAGACTTTTCAAATAGCTAGAAAAAACTAATAACATTTTTTCAAAAGATGATAGATAGATGGATGTTAGATATAGAAAGATACATAAATAGATAAATGATAGATACACAGAGAGAAAGAAAGAAAGAAAGAAAGAAAGAAAAGAGTGACACATACCTTTAAGGTGAAATAATCATTTCCTGATTCGTTGTGGTACTCCTGGTACTCCTAAAAATATACATTTCTGTTTAACGTACTCTGTCGTACTCCGAGATGTTGAACTTTATTTCAGTTGTCCAGATGTCAGTTGTATCGTACGGAAGCGGACAGAATCCCTCAAACAAGGTTCTCTCTTGTAAATTCATTTGTCTTTCCTCACTTTCCTCTGTTCGGTTAATTTTGGTCTGAAAAAGAAAATAGAAACAAACGTTGCAGAAAAAGGAAATGATGCTATTATCTAATGGTAAGACTACTTATATTAACACTGTAGGATTGATGGTATGATATTTTACACCCAATTTGAAATTACGTGTATATCCCATTTTTAACTTAAAAACGCTTCCATATAACCGTGAAGAACTTCAAGTGTGTATATTTTCTCGGCCATTGGGTAAGGTTTCTAATCGAGAAAACTTCTACCATATCAAATGAACTTGTCTTCTAAGGTCGCATTAAAGAGAAAAAAGACTTTCAATTTAAAGTACACAACATTTGACGAATTAACAGACACTTCATTTTTGAATTATCTAAGGTATGTCGCTGTCGCAGTTTGAATCGATGACTGTCCTATCACTTTGCGAGACATCTAAGTATTGAACGTCCACTATATATACAAATGACAATCAGAAGTACCTGTTTCAGAGTAAGATAGCATATTGAGTCCATGTTTTGAGTTCATGTTTTCAAAGAAATATTCTCCCATTATTGTTGAATCTTGACAGGTTTTAGTGGACATATCACACAGACCGGCCCCGGGATCACTTGTTATTGTGGGAGGTGCCATTGAATCAAAGGAACAGTCGCTCCCTCAATAAGTCTTCCCTTAAAATATTAAGGTAGGTCACTCGTCAGCTTTTTGGGAAAGTTCACGCAGAACCTCTTACTTCAAAACTATTTATCAGAATTCAATTTTTATAACATTTTAATTTCAACAATGTTAATGGTTTAACATTCAACGAAAAACTGCTCAAAAAGTTACAAAGAAGCAAGATTTGTAAGGGACTATTTTTTTTTGATGGAAGGATATTTATCAGATAATTCTACAAATCTGCACAGTTATTAAATTTAATATTTTGGAACTTAAGCCTCATATACTTTTACTCGGAGAATATTTTCCGTTAGGATATTCCTAGAAATATTTAATTTAGGTCTTAATTTACACTTTTAGAACGAGTTTCCTTCAACAAACTTTGCCAGAAAATGAAGATTTGTCAAATAAGTCTACATAAAATTTATGCCATTTTTTGCCTCAAATACACATATTTTGACCAATATTTCAATACTGATATCACTGACACCAACTTTTTCTTTCCTTATTTTAAAGTAATCGATACCCGTGACTGATCAGCACTTAAGTCGTAAAAAACTTGATTTAAGAAAATGTTTCATTGCCTATTTAGTTCTTTGTTGAAAATTACTCGATCGTATCCAAAAACAGAACTTGAGATATATTTCGATAAATATATATACCAAAATTCATTTCAGTATGTGCAACTTCTGCGAATAAAAGGAATGGAATAATGGTGGACCGACATACAATGTACAGACAGAGCTTCCGACCCAAAGACATACAAGGTACGTACCAAAGCAGTAACGGCTTCACCTCTTCGAAAGGGGTGAGGCATACAAATGTATAATGAAATGTATTTTTTCTGCATTTAAGGACTGCTCAGCAATAGCATAATATTCTTTTAACGTAAAAAAAACTATTTTCTTGATAAATATTGCTTATATCAAACCAAATCCTATTCCCTGCTTTCAAAATATCATAGGCTATTATAACTGCTGTATAATTGCTGGAATTATCAACTGTTTGGTTGACAGCTTCCTGTTCATCAATAAACCAAATGACGTCATATAACAACTCTTCATCAGATTTCAAACTGAAATCGCAGAGAAATGTTACAGCATAGTCATATCTGATAATGGTGTTAAATTTTTCTTTCTTCCACGTCATGTTATGGTATGACACAGATATATCTAATGGTGTCCAATAAAACCTGTTTCCGGTACAAGAGTAAAAAAAGCGTACATGTATATACAATGGCAAAATAAAACGCCTGTAAAAATATTTAAGAAAGTCTAACAGAAAGGGAATTCAAATAGATTCCAATGGAAGAGGTCATGATACTTACAGTAATCTGTATCAACTGGAAATATGCAAAAAAAGAGACATTAGTACTAGTATTATGATCAAAATGGTAGAAATATGGAGATCAATAAAAATGTGTTTGTGAAACAATGATGCCCTTGTCAAATTTAGTGGTACCTGAAGAAAGGTCTCGTCACAAGCAATAAAATTGTGTATGTTTATATAAAGGAACAGGCCAGCGCTTTTCAAAAGTTATGAGCAAAGTTAAAATTTTTGCGGAATAACAAGCAGACGGACAGACAAGACAATTGTGGGGTCAAAAACGACCTAAATAACACACCTTTGTCACAAGTATCATTAGTCCACCCAGTAGCACATCCTCCAATACAAGATCCATTATATCGGTCACACAGATACGGCGTTATACAGTGACTGCTACATCTCTGTGTACAACCACGTCCATAGTAACCAGGACTGCAGGCTGCAAAAGAAAAATGAAAACCGTCCATGAAATTATTGCCACTTCAAATATTGATTTTCTTCTAGACTTAAAATTTAAAATTATAATAATGAAAGGAGTACTTATTAAAATCTTAAAAGAAGTGTAATAATTGCACAATGTACATAAAATATACAGCATATGGAGGGTTGATCCATAAGTTCGTGGAATTTCTTTACATATTATTTATTTATAAGTGAAATTTGTTGAAAACTACAAATGAGAATATACACACTTGTTGAATATTTAAATAAGAAAACATTTTAAATATTTATGATAGTTACTCTATGGCAGTTGCCATATAAACGGTTGTTTGGAAACGCGGGGAAATATTAATGCGTTTATCTTAATTTTAATTCTTAATACGTGGAAGGAGAATAAAACCGCTCTATGTGATATATAAAACGAAAATTATGGCTTTATTACGATTTTTTATAAACCTTTGTGTGAGAATTATACTGATTTTAATGGATATTTTGTGTATAAGTTGATGATTTATTGTTCATCTTTAAGTTGTTAGGCAACTCAAATTTCGATCAAGTAATAATTTGTTTTTGAAAATCCCGATATCAATCTATCATAAACGCGTTTATTATTAACATAAGCTAGGCAAAAATGCATTTAGTTACTGGTTGTCCACTAGCTTAAGAAATGTAAGAAAAATAGAACTTCCATGGACGTTGATTAAAGGTGTGGCGGCCTTTCTGAGGTTCTGTTTTATGTGTTAATAGACGTTGTCAATTGACGTACTGTTCTTGACATTGCTGCTGAAATAGGACAATCATATGGAAAAATGGGGAGTCAAAAATGAAGATAAGTTGGTGCAGGCTTTTCTTGAGAAAAAAAATGGAGAAAAGGGCAGCAATTTGTAAAATTATGTATTCGAATCGGACATGAGGCCGAGATACTTCTATAACATGACGTGACATATCTAACTTGACGTTACGTCGAAGTCTCCCCCGGGTTTCATTTTCAGAAAGCCCGTGTAACCTTATTGCTGATTTTAATGTGATGAAATTGTTCAATATTGTTGCATTATGACTCTATATTATATATATGCATGTTGTTTGCTTCCATCAAATCACGATAAAATTTTAGAAAGAAATTCCACAATCTTTTGGATCAACCCTCGTATATAGTTTTTCAACGTCACATAAATCTTTCATTAAAATTTACAATTTACAGAACTAATATTTTATCTACATGAAATATAAAAAAACAGTACTATAATCAAACAAACACAAAAAATACCCCAAGGCGCTTTCTGCGATCAAAATTTAATTTCTGGCTAATCCTGTTTTTTTTTTATTCTAAAGAGATGATGAAAAAATCAACTTAGAGTTACATGTAAATCAGTGTCACAGTTTCCTCATTTCTTCACACCTACTTATTGATGTGTATAACATCCCTCTCCAGAATTTTTCACTCATATGGAGACTTCACCAGTTGTCGTAGGAGAGCTACCATTTTTTTCTAACACTTAGCACTGAGGGCCATTGAGCAGTAAAGGGTCATTTTTCTCCCATCACCTTTTGTAACATGCATGGGACCTCGGTTTGTAAGGTCTAATATGAAAGACGGTCTTCCATCCGCGATCTAAGGATCAACTCCTTTCTGCGCAACTTTAAATCAGACGCTGTAACCAATGCAACAACGGTGAAATTAAAAAGCTTATATTTAAACACTAACCGTGATTGCACTTGCTTGATGTCCAACCATCAGTACAACCGAATAGACAGTTTCCGGTCACGTGATTACACGTATCATTGTAACAATGTCCACAGCTGTACACACAGTTAGCACCATATGTGTTGTTCGAACATACTGCAAAGTTTTGATTTTAATTGTACATGTAATTGAAAAGAAATTTTTTAGTTTATTCGCTGTCAACAACATATTTCATTTTTAATTGTTTGAAAATTATGAGAAATTCTATGCTAATGAAATGTTTACCATCTGTGCAGTTTTCACCGGTATACCCAGCTTGACATATACAAGATCCGTCAACAGCATTACATTGATCACAACCTCGAAAGCATGGTGTACAGGGACTTCCATAATAATTCATAGGGCATGCTAGGAAAACAAAAGATGTCGTGAAAAGCAATGAAACCGAAACTTAACTAAAAAATGATACATGTAATTGTATTATATACGTGCACAATTCCATTTAAATACGAGGGCCGTTAAAAAATTAAGCGGTCTTGTTGCACAGAAGAAATATTTGACAACATAATCGGGCAAAGTGTCATACATAATATAAAAGAATCTTTACTTATATGGTCTTCAAATTTTCATATCCAAATGTTGTAAATTGGTATCAATTTTGAGTGATGTTTACATGTATTGAATATCATTTCCATCGATAGGAAATTTCCCTCCGGACCCCCTGTATTTCCACGTATGATTACATTCCTGCAACCGTATTTATGCCTTTGTCAGAACGTCGGTATATAAACTTGCATGTATGAATAGTGCAAAAAAAGTGTGCATCACACTTACAAAATAGTAAGGAAGACCCAAGTGGCCACAAGGATCATCACGCTCTCTTCATAGTCATACCTTTTAAGTATAAGTAAAAAGTGCCTGAGTATACATGTACATCTTACCGTTTACCTCTACTTCACAGATTGAAAATGAACCACTAGCCATTTCTCTCCAGTTTTCACCCCAAAATTTGAACTCTATTATTAAACCGTCGAAGTAGAATTGCCTTAAATACGGGATAATTATTTCATTTGAATAAGAAGTCAGCTCGTTTGTTCCCTGGAAGTCGACATAACCTCGCCCAATCCAATGAAATATCGGTGAAATGGTGTAATTGAACATTATGCTGGTATTTTCTGTTAAGATACAAAAGCAAATTTACTATAAAGAGAAACATAAGAAATAAAACAACGAAAATGACCATAATGATTTCAGTCTAAGGGTTTCAGATTGAAATAAGTTACTAGAGGACATACGACATATTAACCAGAAACTATAGGCAAATGGAAAAGTTAAACTTATTCGAATACCGGATTTTACAAAAAAAAAAAATCAGTTTATTACATATAATAATTTTTTTATTAAGTGGAAAATAATACTTTGTTTCTTTTAAACAATTAAAATTCCATTCAATGGGTGTTTTACTGATATTAGTCCCACCTTTCATTAAAAGTACAGTAGTAGTCATGAATTAGACTTGTATTTCTCATTTTATGTATAATTACCTTTACAGATTGCCTACACTAAAATGTCTTCCTTTGTATAGTAAAACTTTTCGATATTGTCCTTGTCCAGCTATCAGTCCGACCCCATGTTCAGTCATAGAAGTAAAGTTATCAACATGACATGGATTCCATAAATGTTTTAAACATTCATCACTTCTTTTAAAGGCAGAGATTTTTTACCGGGTGGTAAATTCCAGGTGAGGGAGGGGCTTATTTTGTACAGGTGTGAATGCCATGGGGGCTAGCAGTCTACCTGTGGTCATCTGTCTCCTAATCCCTATACACAGGAAGTGATTTAATACACAGTGAAATACCCCAGGTGTCAAACTTTACCTGTACTGGAGATTTTGAGACAATTTTAAATTAGAAATGAAAAGTTAAAAGTAAAGTTTTTTCTCAATAATTCATATCTATTCATTTTTGAACATTTGAGTACACTCCTACCCATTCCAAAAAATTATTATGATATCATAAACTGAATTGATGTCAGTGTATGTGTTAAATAAATTTAAAAAACATAACTCCAGTAACAACCGATTTAGACTTAATTCACTCATCCTCGGGATCCCAATTTATCATAATAAATAAAAAGAAGTCTTGTTAACTACATTTCATAAAAAAAAATATCTAGTAGCTTTATCCTAATCTTTATAAGGCTTCGTCACCTTGAAACATGCTAAAAAGACTGCTTGTAAGTTCTCATCTGAATAACAAAGGAAAATAATTACAAGCGAACCATAATAAGAATTTGTAAATTTTATTACTTCACACAGTGCTGCTCTAAACTTTTAAAGTCAATAACATTTCCAGTTTAAGTTTACCGTTTAGCATATGTTAAAATTAATTTCAAAATTTCTTTTGAAAACAAAAGTTTTTTTGTACCAAAGTTGAATATTTTAAAAATGTATATTATATTATAATCCTTTTAAATACTAGAGGTATATTCAATTCATATATTATCAAGCTAAAAATTTTCATAGCGATACAGTTTCTCTATACCATGTCCAATAAACAAAGGAAGAGGATCAAAGGATCAAAAGTTAATTTGAAGGTCCCCACGAGTGCCAAACAAGGTGTACAGGGTATACACAGGGACCAGTAAGTAAATGTCAATCAAGTTCCAGCATCCAATGATGGACCTTCATGCACTTGATTGACAGGGCTACCCAAACCAGGTATTTTTGAAGGCGGTGCTTAAAATCTCTGCCTTTAAGCTCATTGCACTTAGATTTGGAAATAAAACTAGAGTATTTTTATCAAGATTTAATACCCAAATGTCATTGGCTGATTAAACCTGCAGTTACAGAAAGTGAAAAAAAAAACAATCGGATCCGATCATGAATGGGGGAAATACTATACGACTGGCCTTTACAAAGAGAAGTTAATCGGCCATTATGTCTGTCCAGTTTTAAACTTATACGTTATTTTGGCAGGTAATTTTGATTTTTTTCCCCCGCCATTTTTAATTTTTATCGGCAAATGGCCCACGCCAATCTGATACCCTGACTGTATAAAAAGCAACTTATAAAATCATAGAAAGCACACAAAATGGAATCACAGTTTAAATTTTGACCAAAAAATGAACGAAAACCTAAACACCCAGACTATACGGTAAGTAACGTAAACTACATCACAGAATTGGGAATTCCATCGTTTATATTGAGGGTTCTAATCTACACTATATGGAACAGACGGATTTATAACACGTGTGTTAGAAACGACAACGACAAAATAAAAAGTCCATGTACATAATTTAAGATTGTTTAACGTCACTCTCGATATTTTTGTACTCATATGGAGAGGCCATCACTTTCCGTTGGAAAGCTACAAATGTTGACCTTTACTCGGTACTTATGACAAGGCCATTGAACAGTGGGGAATCTTTTTCTTGCTGCGACACGGGACTTCGATTTAATCAGTCTCATCTAAAGGACTGGTCTTCACCTCCCACAGTGGGATTCGAACCTGCGACGTAAGGGTCTACTCCTTACTTTGCGACTCTAGAGCAGACGCTCTAACCAATGTGTCATGCGGGCGACGGCTTAAACCTTTATTTTCCTCGGTTTTCAACATAACAGGATGATTTAGGAGCGTTTGGGGAACACGTGTAACGTTCCAATAGATAGTTTTCGATAGGCCTGAATTTAGCGAAAGTTACCTCCCGTTGGTCGCCATATTGGAGGTCGACTCGGTGATTTTCCCTCTTTGTCTTACCAAGTTTTAGAAAATATAGCAGAAATATTTGGTGGAAAATCTTTATCAAATATTTTTTTTTATATTAAGGGGGCTTCCAAATATTTATATACTTCAGAAAAAATAATGATTTCTAATTCAAAATAACAAATATAAAATTTTAAATTGGTTGAACAATGAAGGAATATGAGCATTTGGACCTCCAGTATGGCGGCCAACGGGAAATAACTCTCGCTAAAATCTGGCCTATCGAAAACTATCTATTTCAATTTACCCCATTTTATATAATTAGATGTCAAGAAATTGTCCATGTTCCATGATATTTTCATCCTTAATGTACCACAGAATCAAACTTGTGTTTATTGTGTATTTATGTTATACGTGTTTCGTTTGATATGTAAAACAATTCAAGGCAATTTAAGGCAAATGTGTTTGATATGTAAAATAATTCACGACAAAGCATTGAATTTAATATCGAAAATACATTTGATCCTGAAAAATTCATTTTGTAGGAGAGTGTTCTGATTTATTTGACGCCCAGTGCTCGAGCTGTGATTTTTTTTTTTCAAAAGTGGCGAAAAGAAATTCATAAGTGACGAAAGTGAATTTTTTAGATGTACCATGTAAAAAATTGGTGTAGGTTAGCTCCTTTGTTTATTCAATGTATACAGATAAGTCCCTTTATTTATTTAATGCTGCAGAGGTGTGAAAACTGAAACCTTCATGTAGGAAATCATGTCTCACCTGAACGAACACATCTGACTAGGTAACTATATAGCCTGGAGTAATAAAGGGTTCCAAAATTGCTTGAAATAATATCATTATGATTTAACAAGGAGGGGGGGGGGTAAAGTGTTATTAGGAGATGAAGTTAGTAAATAAAAGATTTTTATCAACACAATGTGGATCTATGTAGATCGTATTTTTACGGAAAAAAGGGAAACATGACAAAAAAGGTAAAGAATGGCTTCAAATTTTATCTAAATGGAAGTATCAATGTATTTATGTCACTGTGTTTACTAAGTACCGAGTGAAAGGACAAAATTTGTAGTACTCCGCCGGCAAGTGGTGTCGTCTCCATATATGAGTAAAAAATTCAAGAACATTCAGAAAGAGAAAAGAAAATCTCTTTAACTAGTTTATCTATTTCAAGAATGATTTCAGCTTTTAAAAATAAATAGAATATATAGCTAAAACAATCATACAAAAGCATTCCGGAGTAATTATCAGTATAAAAGCCTTCTCATTTTTCATCATATATAGTGTTACATTTTTGATTTTTGTCAGAGGGTTTCAATAACGTTGATCGATGACGTCACAACTGCATCAAAACAAAAATTAAGAGAATGTGATGACGGCGCTGCTTGTTACAGATAACTGGTTTTGAGCGAGGGAAATACTTTATAAATTGTTT